AAAAATTCATTTGCAAAAGCCACTTTGTCCCAGCTCTTTCGTGGTGACGCTTTTAAAATGTTGGCGAAATTACCGAAAAAATTTGAAAGCTTTGATTTTAAGGAAATATTTAATAACCATTTCGTAAATACAGTCCTCACCGCTTAAATGATGCCAATGAACAAAGTACTACTTGAGGAGTTAGAATATATCAGAGATGCTACCATCTTTGGATTTGGGCGGAGTAGAGAAGAATTTAACATTCTTGCTGGAAACTATAAACCTTTTTATCTAGGTTGTTAGGAGTGGCTATATGCCTGGCATAAATGTTTCTTACACCTCTCACAGCGTCATATTTGGCGCGCGTGTAGGTATTGAATGAAAGATTCACCGGCCTTCGCGATCGAATTGGTGAGTAAACATAATAGTCCAAGAGCTTGGTTGCAAGAGCACCATCTCCTAGACTTTTTTTAAAGCAACATATATTTATAACATGAATTTAGATGATTTTCAAATATTTAATATTATTATTTTAAAATGAAGAGTGGTAGTTTTAATTTTTGTAAACTCAATTTTGAAAGTAAAATTGTTGAAATAATGAACAGGAGTTAGAATTTTAATTATACGTTAAAATAAAGTATTGAATCATCAGAAGTTTAATTAGTTGTAAGCAATTTTATGTTTAGCAACACACATTTTTTAAAATGTTATATTTTATGCTATGTTTATTGAAATTCCATGAAAATATTTAACATAGCAGGTAAAGTGCCAAAAATTAATATCTTAATAACTTTCCATCTAATATTCGGATTTTCGTGTACCAAGAGCGTATCTCTTATATATCTATCTCTACGAACACGCGTCAATTTGACGCATGAACGAATACGTATAACACTACTTACAGAGATGCCAACTTGCTCCGGACAGCAAATATATATTTTAAAGTGGTAGTTTATCAATTGTGATTCTTAGTTTAATTCCTTGGGGACGGGTGATTCAGAATAGCATTCGTACAAAAGCAGAATCAAGTTGAATTAAATAAAAAACGGAAACTTAAATGTAGTCGTTTCTAATTTGACAGACTTACTTTGCTTTTACTTTAATTATTGTTAGTTTAATCTTAGATATAATCAATGTTAATTCTAAGTATAACCAAATAGTTTTATTTTGAACAAAGTAATGGTGAATTAAATAAATCAAACAATTATAACTCCGCCCACAAATAAACTGCTAAAGAAATACTTTGATTACCCAGTTTTATCTTTTTACCCTGATTGATACGGTTTTATGCTGGCACGTATTTGTGACAGTCGGTGCGAAAGGGTTAATAAATTCAATTTAGAAGATTTTTATCCACCACTATTTCTAAATACTTCGTAGACTCTGACATCAATTGACATTCTGCGTTTGTTTTTTAACCCAAAAGATGTAGATGTGGAGTCACACCATCATGGCTGATACTCCTCACATAATTCCTTTCTTCATTTTTACCTCATTTCAGGTTCTATTCCATCACATCTTTCCTATGTATGTTCCCGTCATGGGATATTTCAAGATGAATGGGAAAATGGCCATTTAGGCCTCAGATGCCCAGTTCTGCAACAACGAACGAACGAACGAGCGTTTGTTTGTTCTATTATGCTTATCGGCAACAGTTGTTTATCGCTCGTTTCATTTGAGATAACGATATCGGATAACGGATCGAAGTATTGTCGGTACATTCCTATTTATTATTGATGCGATGTTTGCATGTTTACTCAAAATTTTGCCTAAATTACGAGAGCGTCAAATTGACGCATATCCGTAGAGATAGGTATACAACAAAGAGAACTTCAATATTTCAACGCTTTTGAAGAAAATAGACTTCAATATATATTTACCTCGATCAATGGATAAAAGTCATTCCAAGAGATAAAGTAAAAATGCAAACGGGTTTTGTAATTTTCCTTATAAAATTTGAAAGGCCTCAAAATGACACGTCCCGTAAGCCTAGTGTTAATGGTTCGAAACATTGACATGGAATGTACTTATTAATTTTTACACAGAATGCATTTTTATTCACGAAGAAAGAATCAAGACTGTTCTTCACCCCCTAAAAATTTTTTTTCCAACGGTTTCGGATTCTTGTCTATCAAAACGAAAGTTACAGCTCCCAAAAGTCTGCCTAAATTTTTAAAGTAGAAGTAAAAGTGTTGCGATAATTTTTTTCCCAATGACCACCTGGGGAATGACCTTTGGTCAATATAGGCATCAGAAGAGCAGATTTGTTGGCCACTCTTTCAGGGGAGCCCTATTAGGTGCGCCAATGCTGCTCCCACAGTAAGGACAGATAGAACAGAGAATGAAGGAACATGCCTTGCCCTGGATTTGAACCCAGAGCCTTTCTGGTGCAAGACCAGTTCCCTGACGAATACACAGGCCTGTAAATTGTAGTCCTTGTTTTTAAAAATAGACCATAAACATTTTCCTTGATCGAGAAACTTGTTGCGTATACAGAAGTCTGATACATGCTTGTTGAATATTATAAACATTGTTGTGGTTGCGAAGTTAGGAAAATTGCAAATTGAATACTTTTGGGATTCCCTGTTTTCCCTGGAAGAGTAGTATTCACATAGATGCCAATACCTAAACGTATTTGCAGCTCACTATGTTTCTTTTTTTAAAAAAAACTTAAATAATTATAAACAAAATTTTAAATCCTAAAATTTATTATCACTTATTAAAAGCTTACCGTTTAAATGGGAAATGTTGGCATATTTAATTTGGTAACGAGGGAAATACAGCTATCAAAAATTGCGATTCCACACACAATGAATAAGACTCATTTAGGCAATTCATAATAATTAACAATTATTTAGCAATTGAAAAAAAATTTTTGAATTATTTTCAGAAATTATGGAAAGTAAAATTCTATACTATTTCAAGTTATGTTTTTCTATATGACAAAATCTGAAACTTGAAATTTAGATGGGACACCAGTGTACCTTTTAGATACACTTTTTTCTGGAGCTCTTATTACAAGTAAAAATACATTTTGGTATTTTTTAAATATAAAAACTGCTTAATATTTTTTTTTTAAAAATCTGTTAGATTAATGGAATTATATTTGTATTAAAATATAAAATTAAAAAAAAGTAGTTCGAATATTTTTTTTTCATTCTTCTTCAAAAATCTATTAATGATCGATTTTGTAAATTAAATTAATTTCAATGATCAATAACTGTTCCTCTTAGGTCTAAGTAACAGCAAATAGTGAAAATTTGGAAAGTAACTGTTTGGACGTTCGAAAGATAATATTTTTAACTCAGACAAAGACACACAGAAAAAACGTAACCATAAATTATTAAAATGCTAAATATAATATTTTTCACATGTTTTGACCTTAATTGATACAAAACAGTGAAAAAAAAACATAAAAAATATGTTTTACAAAAACTCTGGGTCAAAGGGTTAATATGTACGAATGAATGTTGCGAAAATGCCATTACTCAAAAACTGTCCACACAGTTTCGTTCGAATTTTGGAACTTTTTCAATTTAGAAATAAATAAGAAACGCTGCCACCACAAACTTCTTCATAGTCGTTAAAAAAAAACACGAAACTCAATCAGAAACTTTATGTGTATTTCCATAGCCGGGAGACGCATCAACGCTTAACAATAATTAATAACTGAAATCTTGTTATAAAGCGACATTATTTATTTTGTTTTTAGAGGCATCTTGGCAGTCATCAGAATCAAGAAAACGAAATAATTAACGAAATAATTGTTTAGTGTAACGTTCTTTAAATGATTGAATAATTACAAAATTCAAAAGTTGAAGTTTGCTGGAAAAAATTGCTCTCCCAAAATATGCTATTTAAGTTTTGTTTCCACTTTATTTTCAAAATGTACAGTGCGCAGGAAAATAAACGGACCATCCTGAACAACTTTAGATCGAATGGTCGGAATTCTACGTTCTAGAACTCAATCATAATGGTTTGAGACGGTGACTTCAAATATACTAATTAATTAATGCAGACGATGTTTTAAGTAATCAGACCCAAAACGTCCTTTTTCTGAGAAAACATTTGTTTCGACTGATTCAGATGTCTGACTCCTAAGCATAAGGGGTATCAGCAATCTGGGACATATGACCCCTATAGTTTGGTCTGGACAGAAGACCATAATTTGAATCACTTAACCGGTTAACTGCCCAGCGTCATATATATAGGACAGTTCCTTTTTTCGAAGACATTCATTGCGATGGGAAACTTTTTCATTTGATTGTGTGAATTTAAAGATTCTCAGATACCATAATTTATGAAAGATCTCTGACTAGATCTAGAATTAAAAGGAGCAAGTACTTTTTGATCTATCAAAGACTTTTAGAATGCCTTAACAGTGGAAAAACCAATTAATTATACCACTTTTTCCGTAAAACCACTTCTTGCATCACTTCAATATATAAAGTCGGGACAAAACGGGTTAATGTTAATTTAACGTTTTGCTTATACCGCCATATTTCGAAAACTTTTTAAGCGAATTGAAAATTTTTTGCACACTATTATAAATTTTAATTTTCCAAAAATAATCCAATAGAAAAAATAACTTATAGTAATACGCATTTATTATTTTTTATTCGTTTTGTAATAATAGTTCAAAAAAGTTTTAATGATCATATATGCAAATTTTACATCATTTTAGAGAATGCAAGTTAATATAGCGAACGGCAAAATTTGAATTAAATCTGACGAATTGTTCCTCAGAATTTGATTTTCAAACATACAAAATTTTTTGATTGTGAATGTGTGAAGATATGTTCATTAGATATAAAGTTTTTTGTAGAAGGGCTTTTATTTATTTTATTTTTATTGCGCACTGTACACTAAAGAGGATAAAAGTGCTATAAAATGTTTATGCATCGTGATTTAAAATTAAAAGTAAATCATTCAAGTCGAGTTATTACTAAGAAGCGAATTAAAATAACAATAAATCCAAGGTTTCATCATAAAACAACATTTCCTCCACAACAAATACTCTGTTCTAATCACGGTGAACAGGTCACTAGACCTTCAAGAATATTCACTAGACAATTTTTATTTATGTTTAAATGGTCATGAAAACGATAAGTGATTGGAAATATTTAGATATCTCTTTTTATCGCAAAACGGACTGCGCATTGTATTACTACATTGAAAAAATATTATTTCCGCATGAATTTAATTCGAAAATATTCAAACTGTTTTAATAGCTTCTAGAAAAACAAATATTTAAAGTATTTATAACAGTTTAGTTTTTGAACGGATTGTTCTTCTAGTGGAGTTTTAAATTTCGAATATGAAGTTCCAATGTCAGTTAATTAATCAAAGTAAGTTAAGTTTTATTTTAAGCTATTTCAATAAGTTATTAAAATGTATCAAGTTTGGTCTTTAAAATGTGTTTACAAGAAAAATTTAAGTAAGTACAACTTCTAAAAGTAATGGAAACTAATTCCATATCTTCTTTATTACATAATTGATTGCGATCAGTACCGCTGATATTTAGATACAGGAAAATATGTGCATGACCTGGAAAAAATAAATGAGTGGTAAAAAAGAATTTTCGAGACTACTAATAAATGTTTAAATTTTTCTTTCATTTTTGATTTACGAAATTATTCAGGAGTTATTTTTCTGCACCCATTTATATTTCCTTTAATGAAGTATTTATTGAAAGATTAAAATGTCTAGATATATATATCATTTTCGTTGCATTCTAAAAATGTTGCAGACAGCAGAAAACCTGTAAATATGAAATTTCAATGTCAGATAATTAATCAAGTAAGTGAAATGTTATTTTGAGTTGCTTTAAATAAGTAACTAAAACATATCAAGTTTCATTTATATCAGTTTTAAATGTATTTACAAGTAAAAATTCGTAGAAATAAATAAGTTTAAAAAAAAGCTAAAACTTTTATAAATGTTTCACATGTAACCACAGATTTGCATTAAACAAGTTAAGTCAAATTTATCCAAAACTTTGTGTTAAACAAGTTTAATCAAATCATATTTGTTGTTTAAATTGAAAAGTTGAATATACATGATTGATTTGCTTATCAATAACGATATAAAAAGTATTCACAAGCTATATATGATGCCTAATGAAATGTTTGCGTTTGAATAACGTTAACATCATGTTTCGTCGTATTATAAGATTTAATTGTGAAGTTTTGTGTAAAAAAATTGCACTTTCCAGTATAATTTAAGTCATAAAGAAGGAAGGAAAAAAGGAAATACTATTAATCTGACAAAAAACATAGTAAACTTCTTAACACTTTAATATCTAAATGGTTATATATCTGTGATGTTAAAGGTTTCTTTGCAATAAAATTCGATTGTACAGTTAGCAGAAAAAAAAATACGGATCAGTTTTTTAACTTTGGAATGGGTGGATTTTTATTGTGAAAAGTGCTTGACTCATGGCGGTATACACTTATTTTGACCAAAAAACGCACTTTTTTCTGGAAAAACCATTCCTTTTAATCATCGGATTAGGATTTATCACCCTCAAAATTTCGGTAGATAAAAGGTTTGAATAGCTGACATTTTTAGTTTTACTGCTGTAATGGTTCAAAAATTAGTTACTCTAACATTATATTAATTTGCAACACGTTTTTCTTCATATCTTTTAAATTATTGGCTAAACTAATAATATTTAATATTGGTTAAACTAACAATAATTCATTCACAAGAAATTATAAGCCATCGGTTCAAAGACAAATATGTAAGAGAATGAATAATTCCAATGAATTAAATAATTCTTACGAATAAATTTGTTAACGATGAAAAAAAAGTTTTAATTTTCGGGAATAAAAATTTTTATTCCGAAATTTTCAGAATTTATTCACTTTAAATCTAGATTTTTATTCAATTTTATAAAGAAAAAACTGCTAAATTTTTTTTTAAATAATTGATTTTAGAATGGAATTGAGTTGACTCCCCATTTTGAGATAACGTCACCGAATTGCAGAACTATATGTCATTTTATGGCTGTCGTTAAATAGGCTTACAAATTTTGCCTTTACGACTTCTGTAGCCTTATAATTTTGAACTCAATCCAGAAGACAATGTAACTGCTGGATTGGGAGAAATTTAGTGTTTACGGGGAGGACTTTTTTGATAGAACTACATGGAGTTACATGGAAACACTAAACTACATGAGTTACATGGAGAGAAAAACCTCCCCTGGTTAGCTTAACAGCAAGGGGAAACTAAACCATGATCCATCTACCACTCAATAATTTTTAAGTCAGCACTGTGGTCGGTGCGAGCAGGGTGTGGAATTCATATCGACCAGTCACTGCTGGGATTCGAACCCGGTTCTCCTCATTCGAAAGCAAATGCTCTATTCCTAGAGCCCACTACAGCTCATACGTCATTCAACGTTATAAGACATATGAATTAACTAATAAATGAAAGAGTTCATTCTTTTTGATCATTAATAACGATGGAATTAAGAAACACCCTTATATTTTAGAATTCTGTAGATAGAAATATGTGGATAGAATTTTGTAGATAAAAATGAAAATTTACTTTTTTTAAACATACTTTCCGGTGTTGTGTGGCCTGTTTGGCTACACTATTAATGTTACTAAATATTAGAAATGTAAAATTGATTGCTTTTGATCATTTAACAGCCACTACTCCTTTGACAACAACAATGTCGCTTCCCAGCGAATGCATTGTCTAAGGTCGCACATACTTAGGTCCTGCCTGACCAAAATTTTCCATCAAAAATCGATGTTAACCCGTATTGTCCCGAATTTATAAATTGAAATGATACTAAAAGTGGTTTTATGAAAAAAGTGGTATAATATATTATCGAAATTAATTGGTTTTTCTACTGTTAGGGTATTCAAAATGTCATTGATGTATCAAAAAGTACTTGTTCCTTAGAATTCTAGATCTAATCAGAAATAACTAAATCATCATGGTATCTGAGAATCCTTTAATTCACCCATATAAATGAAAATGCTGAAAAAGGTTTCCCATCACAAAGAATGTCTTTGAAAAAAGGAACTGTCCTAAATATATGACGCTGAGCGTTAACCGGTTAATGAAAAGGGATAAATAGTGTATTTTATTTTTAGAATTTACTTCCAACAATCGATAATGGTAATCTAGGACCATATATAATAAAAAGTTTTTTCTTCAATTCTGCTGATACTTCTAAATTTTACGGGATTCCGTTTTACAAACCAAGATTTTATTTTATAACAGTCGTTGAACCCAATGATGATTTTATGACTACTAATGTTCAACTCTGTAGCCTTGTTTTTTGAACCCAATTTGCATTTTGTCACTTTAACCCACATGTTTACTGACCTTAAACCCGTTACTGTTGATAATCATATGGACGGGCAGCAAATTTCAAGGACAGATTTATAACATATTCTGGAAACTTATTAACTTATCTATCAGATTATTTTAAACTTTCGTTATTAGATAAGTGAAGGAATAAGATCTTTTTAAATCTTGTTATGATGATGATGATTTATTCGGCCAATATCACTAAATTTTTTTTGTGATTATAATTTACTTATTTTAAAATAATGAAAACATTTTTCTCCATTACAATTCAAACTAATTTAAATCAACTATAATTAAATTAATTTTATTTAAACTTCGAAATTCCGAAATTTTAAAATATGATTTTTTTAAAAAAGAAATCTCATTACTCACTAAATTAAGCGACTGATACCGCTCAAACTTCGTATTTTGATTAAAAATTACATATTTCAAAAAAACGTCACCAATTGTCTAGCTTATAATTCAAATCTTTTCAATCATTTTTAATTTAAGTAATAAAAATAATTGACGATTATAAAAGAAAATTTTGCACCTTAATTTATCTTGTATAAACAAGTTTCAAAACTGTGAGCAAGATGTTTTTGATTCGCTTAATCATTAATTTAACAACAATCATACGCAAAAAAATAAAATACTTCCAGAATGATTTATTTTGCGTCTGATTTCTTAGAATAAAATATCGGCACATATTAACTATTCAGCGTTAAACTCTTATAACAATCAGAATTTTTGATTGAGATTAAAAACTATTAAAACTTTGTTATTAATGTATGTTAGGTTAATATGTAAAATGAAAAAGAAAGGAAATAAAAGAGAACGCTGCTGCGAAACGTTTTTTATTTTTAATACGCAGATTGTTACATGAAAAATTTTAACAAACTCCGTTAAAAAATTAGCATTTTTTATGTTTCTACAGAGTCTTATTATATATTCTATAAGTTATAAAACTTATCAGACGTTTAGAATACAAAGAAAAAATCATCCTAAAATCCATGATTTGGTGGTTAAAGTACTAAAAAATTTCGCATTTAATTAAGTAAAATGCAACAAACCATGTTTATATAGGAGTTTTTTTTTACTCTGAAATGTAATGACATAATCACAGGCTTAATTATTGTTGCCAATAGTCTGCAAAAATTAGGTATTTCATTTTATTTTATAGTCGTCGTTCAACAGCCGACCCAATTTGGGGCTTACGATGATTAACTATGTCGCCTTGTAATTTTGAGCCTAATCAAGAAGAAAAGGAAACTCCTGGATCAAGTATTGGGAGAAATTTTGCTTTGTAGAGGACTTTTTGATGGAACTAACCATAACCTCCTACATTAGAAAGCCTCCACACTGGTTTTTATAAGTAGTCTGTGCAAATTATTTAATAACAATGAAATTTTTTCTTCTTCTTTTGTTTTGTTTTGTTTTATGTAAGCCAACTATTACGCAAACCATAGATTACGTAAACGAACTATATTCTGAAATAAATAATCCCAAGAAACTAAAGCGATAAGGTATTACTTGATTGAAAACTTCATTTTCTTCAAAATTATACAAATTGGAGATAGCAGTCAGTTTCTGGGTATTATTTAACAGTCGACATGTTTTTAGCACTCAAAAATTTTCAGGACTTGCCGGAGGTGAATGCGAACAAACAAAAGTGATTTGAAACATAAAACGCCAAGTTGAATGAAAAATGGAAAAATAAAGGTGAGAAACCAAACTAGAAAAGCCACAGTAGCCGAGAAAGAAAATAACGAATAACAGAACAAAAAGAAAAAAAAAACACAGTGACTGAGAGGGGTAAACATATATGGCAGTACTTTTACTTTCGTTACTTGTACCGCCGGTACAAGTAAAAAGTTCTTACTTTTACTTGTACTTCGTTACTTCTAAAATTTAGTACTTTTACTTGTACTTTCGTTACTTTTTTAGGGAAAAAGTACAAGTATTTGTAACGGAAATGACGAAAGAAATCGTTACTTTTTTTTAAAACTCGGTAAGCTTTCTAAAAAAAAATAATAATAAATAAATTAAAAAAAATTGCTTTCGAAATGCAATTATTTTTCAAAATGAATAAAAATATTAATTAGCAAGTTATTTTCATTCATTTTCGAGTTTTATGCATTTGTTTAATACATTTTAAATAAAAAATGTTGGATTTTGTTATTACGCTTTTCAATTTTCTTTTTGAACTCACTAATGCGTTTTGTCATATGTTTTTTACTAAATACATTTTTATCTAGTACATTTTTTACTTAAATTATGTTTATGCCCGACCGTGTCAAACAACGCCCAGTCAAATCTCTAAGAACTACTTGTGCTACTGAAAACTATTATAATTACTATTTTAACTCTTGAAAACTCGAAGTTATTAATTTAGCCGCTGATACTAAAATTCGTTTACAAATTTTAATTATTCCGTTAGGCAGAAATGTTCGGAAAATGATTTTCTTGCATNAACGTTGCCATATATGGGGGTAAAACAGGGTAAAACACAATTTTATAAGCTATGGAGAGATGGTGAGGAACTAATGTTGTTTAATAATGGAATTAGCATACATATGAATAAACCAAGATTCCAGTGTATCAAAATGAGCTGATGTGGGGATAAATAATTTTGTCATTGTCGCTTCAAAAATGTACAAATTGGAAGCACCAGTCAACATGTTTCATTTTTTTTTCTGTTTTTCATCGTATTTCTTTCTCGGCTACTATGTTTTCTTTCTAGTTTTGTTTCTCACCTTTATTTTTCCATTTTGCGTTGGCAACTTTACGTTATATATTTCAAACCACTTTTGCGTCTTCTCATTCATGTCTGGAGAGTCTTGAAAGTGGGGGCCTATTTTTGAGCGCTTGAAATATGTCGACTGTAATTTCCAATTTGTACTGTTTTGAAGCGAATGAAGTTTTTAATCAAGTTAAAGCAATAATCTTATAAGTTTATTCTTCTTGTTTCAGAATGGGAAAGGTTTTATTTTCCAAAAAGGTACATAGTTGCAATACTAGGATTTTTAGGAATATTTAATATTTTTACTATGAGAGTGAGCATGAGCATGAGTATAGTAGCCATGGTTAATCATACATATGAATCAACTATAAATAGTTCCTACAGCGAAACTGAAGAATGTCAGAATCTAGAGCACAGAAATACAGCGTTGAGTGAGGATAATTTATATAAAGTAAGATTCTTTTATTAGTTTGACATTATATTGAGGTTATCTATTAACAGGATGTCAATAAATTATGATGCATTTATGTAAATAATTTATTTATCCTTGTTATCAAATCCTTTAACATTTAATTTTAAAACCCAATAATTGAACAGAAATTTATAAATTTTATTACACTTCGAACACTTTCTGGTGTGCAGTGTTGTCCTGTTTATTTTAAAAATGCGATGATTATTTTAACTCAAATGCGAAAGTTTTAAATTTTGCTTCCATTTTAAATTTTCAAAAAAAAAAAAAAATTCATAATTGCCTAAGAAGTTGACAAGTCGATAGCTCAGTAAAATATATTATACGCACATGAAAAAATGGGTTGGCGTGTGGCGTAACTACTACTTTTAAACATCAATTGGATAATAAATAAAACATGCTAACTCTATTTAATTTTGGGGTAGCCTTTGACAAAATAAAAAAATAATTGACATGGTCGAAAGATCCTTTTCCCGCATTGGTGATCAGCGGACGTGATTTAACTTGCCTAAAAGTAACGTTCACTTCGATGAGTGGCTCACATTGAATATTTTGCTAGCTTTTTTTGACTGGGTCACATCGTCCTCCTTGCTTCTCAGTCTCACTTACACGCAAAGGGATCCTGTACAAACGTGACTGCTAACAGCAACACAAGAGAGACCACACACAGCAGTGAACTTAATATAGCTCACAAGACAGACACTCAAAACGTGGTGAACTTAACACAGATCTCCCGGTCTCTCGAAAATACGATTAACTAGTAGTATCCGCTCACCGAATTCTATCCCTGATAAAATTCTTGCGGGGGAGTGTTGTGACGTAATTACCACTATGATTACTGAACATCAATTCACTAAAATAAAGACATACTATCTCGTTTTAATCTTGAGGTACCTTCTGAAAAATAAAAGTTGGCATTGTCGAGAATTATCTCCCCTCTTTTACATTAGAATTCGTTTATTACACTAACTCAGTGGAAAAAGAAATTTTTTTTGTTGTATTTGATTATTGTTTGGTAAATTTGACTTAAAGTTTTTTTGTACACCACTAACAATAAGTAAATTCATCTTAGACGCCTCATAAATTAAGCATACGTTCCAATTTCTGTTCACTCCGAAATAATTTTCTTAAGCTAGAGTGAAGCAACAAATAAATCACTGCCTGCAGGAAGAAATATTATTTATATTATGCTAGTACAGCTGTTTCCAAATGGTGTACAGAGGGTTTACGGTACAAACCATTGTTTATGTCTTGAGTATAAAAATTTCATACTGGTGCCATCTGAAAATTGGAAAAATTAAATTCCGTATAAGAAGAAAAAAACTTGGTGCTCTTGTATTTGTGTTTGAATTAAATATTCTTTGATTTGAATTCAGGGTTTTTCTTTTCAGGGTAATAAATATAATTGGGATTCCACCATTCAAGCCACCATACTAGGATCTTATTATTATGGTTACATATTGACTCAACTGCCAGCAGGTGTTTTGGCTGAAAAATTTGGTGCAAAATGGTTATTTGGAGGTGGACTATTTGTAACAGCTGTATTCTCTTTGTTAACTCCTGTATTTACAGCCTGGGGACCTGTCGTTCTCAGTACATTACGTGCTTTACAAGGACTGGCTGATGTAACTATAGTTTTTAATGATTTTTAACATAGAGTTCTTAAAGTGTTTAAGGTTAAACGGAGGAAAGTTCCTACAAGAATTATTTAAAAAAAAGTAATGTAGTGATTAATAACAAAAACTATTAATAGTGATACGCTACTCTCACAGGGCAGCCAACTTTCAACGCTTTTTGTAAAACTTATTTCTAGTGGTAGCACCGTTAATGTTTTTAGCTCATAATTTTAATTCATTTCATCTTATTTTACACCCCGCTGCATACAAATTATTTAAAAGTTCATATACAACGCCACTTTGTTACAGCTCTAACGAGGTCAAGTTATTTGAAAATGTTGGCGAAATTTTGACAAAGATTCTGATGAGAGCTTTGATTTTTAAATGTCCACCATTCTGCAAAATATTTTACAAAAAGCGTAGTAGTAGGCAGGCCTGCTTTCATCTGCAATAATAGTAATAATGATAATAAAATTTTTAGCAAGTTGCTTCGTTACTTTTACCTTTTATATTTCCTCAAGCAAAGTGCAATAACCTCATCCTCATATACAGACAGTAAACTAAAGTTTTTGAGCAAGCTGCTTCTTATTGTTTCCAATTATTTCAATTTCCGCGAGCAAAGTGCTCGAACTGCGTATACAGCAAAGCAATCGCACGGACAGCTGACCTCACAATGTCAAAACAAACTTTTAAAAAAATTTATGATGAATGGGAGAGGGACTTCTTCGCGGCCCAGGTGCTCAGTTCCAGAGCACTATTATGACTAAGTAAGTTACCTTGTGGTGACATTCTGAACGAATAGGCCTAATTGTCCTTATTCTACAAGTTTATTAAAGCTTTTTGGTAAAGCGGAGCCTTTGGTATCCCTACTCATTATGTAAAATTTGATCCCACTTGTTTATTCAAGAGAACAATCGAAATGTTAGAGTCTATTACAAAGCAACTTGCGATTACATAACAGAAAAATTTCTACTCTATAATGCGTATGCATGTTAGGTGCTTTCGGATAATCAGAGGCCGGATATTTGAAATTCTACTGTATTTTTCAAATATTATCATTTCAGGGAGTGACTATTCCGTCAATAAACCTGATCATAAGCACGTGGTCTCCAAAAAATGAAAGAAGTAGACTCTCAACTATAATATTCACTGGTGGACAAATTGGTATGGTTACTGCAATGCCCATAGCAGCTCTGCTATGTAGTACAGATTTGCTTGGAGGATGGCCATCAGTATTTTACGTCTTTGGTAATTCTTTCTTTTTTTAAAAAAAAAGACTTAAAACAATACTAGGGGTTAACTGCTTAGCTTTTGGCAAAAGGCTTCATAACTTTTAGTATAAGGTATAATTTTGCCGTCATTTTAAATATTTCACTATTCAATACTGCGAATATTTCAATACTGTTACTTTTTATACATAAGCTTTGAATATTTGATATGTAACTGTGAAAAAATTACCTAAATTCAAATTTACAGAAGTAAAAATACTTAACCGTTTACATATCAATGTTCTATTTTTGGAACATACCCATAGATTGCCAACTTTTACTCATTATGCGTGAAATTTTAATTTTACATTTAAAGTGATAGAAAAATGCATGATTTTTCTTTTTTTTCTTTTGTATCTTTAATTTGAAATTTTTCACCACCATTACATTCAAAGAATTTAATAATGCGTATGAAAGTCTGGTAATGCAGACATACAAACTGCTCCGGATTCTACAAATATTTTAAGAAATGGCAGAGATCTGCAGACTCAAATTTGCAGATTTTCGCTTAATTTTGCCAATTTTTTAAAAGTTTCGACACAGCTTAACGGTTAAAAAGTGGTGCAGAGCATAAGCCTTTGAATTATTTAGAAGTAGTAGTGAGTAAAAATCCCATAAAGCGTATTTACTAAACCAAGAATCATACATTAAAAGACTCGAAAATATTTATCCGCTGTCCGGAGCAAGTTGGCATCTCCGCATACCTTTTTTTCAAAAAGTTATCAAATAGTTTTTTCTCAGTTACAGTCGAAAAAAAATATTACTATCAACCAAAATCCATTATTTACCCAAAATTATACATCTTGTGATATATTTCTTTTATGAAATCAGTTGTTGCATTTTGAAGTTATACTTCTTATGCGACTTCCAACAAGGTTGCGTTAAACGTTTAACGCTACATTTTTTTACATTTTGCGGGAAATCACGTGGTAGGATCCAGTTTTCCCTCATTCGTTTTCATACTGTTTTGGTTCTCACTAGCATAAAAATAAGGAAAATCATAAAAGTATTGTTTTTCTATAAATATTTTTTTAGTTTGTTTTGATACACACAGGGCTCGAAAAACAGCCCGCCCGCCCGTCCTCGACGGTCAAAAATTCTCCGCTGACAACGAATTTCTCGAATCCGACGTCCGCGTGGACGGCCATTTTCCCATTAATGTTCGTGATACATTTTCAATTTTTGTTATCTTACAAGAGTCTAGCGCTTCACTTCTAAAATGACCCTCTAATCTAGAAATACAGCAACATACTGCTTATGGTGGAATTGATGTTTTCTTTGTCTGGGAGTACTGCAGCTGTTGAAAG